CCCCGCCATTGTCACGTGCTCCGCTCCTCGTCCGCCAGCGAGCCCTGCTGAGCATCTGTTTTCCTCCCCTGCCCCCGCCCCTGCGGCCCCCTCGACACACACCCCTCCCCGTGCAATTCAAAAACACCCAGGTGCTCTTCCCTGGCACCATGCCATACCTTGGGGACCTGTCGCGCCACACTGACGAGGCCTCCATCATGGACGCCATCCTGGACGCGCCCGGCCTGCGCTTCCCGCCCGGCCCCCAGCCGCCAGAGGGCGTCAAGGTGCGCCCCGGCCCCCCACGCCCCTAGGTGGGGAAACGAGGGGGGCCCGGCACAAGTTGGTGCAGCCCGTGCCGTCAGGGTGCAATCGGATGGATGCGATATATGCAACGCAACACATCCCGCGAGCAGGCATGTGCCCCCGTACTGCCGTGCCCTGCGCCTCCCTTGCCTCTCCTTGTTGTTATGTGCTACCCTTGTTATCTTGGCGCCTGGACGCACAACAACCACCCCCAACCCAACCCAACTCAACCTAACCCACCCCACGCCCACGCCACCCCTACCCTCCTTCTCAGGCCTTCCTTACGTCCTGCCTGGCGCGCGACCCCGCCAAGCGCGCCACCATACGGCAGCTATGGCGCAACACGTGGATCACTGAGTCCCTCGCCAGCGTCTGGGGGGTGACCAGAAAGCGCAAAGCTCCTCCTCCAACAGCACAGATGGAGCCTGTGCAGCAGCAGCAGCGGCAGCTGCAGCAGCAGCAGCAGCCAGTTGCGGTAGAGGGCCGCAGCAGCGTGGCGTGCCAGACGACGCCGGAGGCTGCTGCGCCAAGGGCAGAGTGCGCCACAACCCAGACGCCCACATGCGCAGCATCAGCGACGGCGCAGACGCAGACGTCCCTGCCGCTCCTGCTGGAGTTGTCGGTGGAGCAGGCGGGCGGTGGGGCGCCGGCGAGCTTGCTGCTGGGCACGCCAGAGGCGCCGTGTGTCGGCTCAGCACTGGGCCCTGTGACCCGTGAGGCCATGTGGCCTGAGGCGCCCAGGGACATGCAGCAGGGTCCTGCCGAGGGGCGGGGGCTGGAGGGCCACCGGCAGCGGCAAGTGCCGCTGCTATTGCAGGAGCAGGAGCAGCAGCAGCAGCAGGAGCAGCAGCAGCAGCAGCAGCAGGACTCCTGCTCGGAGCAGCAGGCGCAGCAGGCGCAGCAGGCGCAGCAGGCGCAGCAGGCGCAGCAGGAGCAGCAGGAGCAGCAGGAGCAGCAGGAGCAGCAGGAGCAGCAGGAGCAGCAGGAGCAGCAGGAGCAGCAGGAGGAGCAGCAAGAGTCGCGCACGAACCCCGCAGGGCAGCAGGAGTACTTTTGTGGGTGTAGGGGCATGAATGACGGGGCCATCGCCAACACGGCACAGCAGCCGTGGATCAAGGATGCCCTCTGCAAAGATGTGATTCATGCTGTGACGGCGACACCTGCAGGATCAGCAGCAGCACCAATGGGCAAGCCTCTACTGCAATCAATCATTCGTCTTGGGGTGGCGTCAGCGGCAGCAACTTTGCCAGCAGTGTCACCAGTGGCGAGTGTGACACACGCGGCAGCCTGAGCCCCACGAGCGGCCCCAGCGCGTGCGAGTGTGCCGCAGGGCCCCGCCTCGCGCCATGAACCACGCCCTCGGACCCAAAGGGCGGCAGCCAGTGCAGCAAGCATGTGGTGGACGGGCGGAGCCTCACTCCGGCAGCTGCAGTGGCGGCGAGGGTTGTGGCGAAGGCAGCGGCTGCGGTGATTGCAATGGAGGGTGCTGAATTCTCGGTTGCTGACTGACGAGAGCGCCGAAGGTGCCTCTGCCGGCAGTGGGCCCCTGAGGGGCCGTCAGCCAACCTGCTGGATGTGCGCTCGGCACAGCCGCCTCGGCCTGATGCACACAACCATGCCTTCCCAATGAATGTTGGGAATGCAAGAAAACTGTTGAGCCCGCAAGCTCAAGCCAGGCTGGTGATTGCCATCTTTCGTTAATGCCAGGATGCATGCAGGAGCTGAAGCAACACTGCAGCGCAGCGACCCCCAAACGAGCAGCACGGGCTGCAACACTTTTGCAACAATCCTGATCGCAACCCTTGTCGCTGTCCAGAACCTGCAAGAGGCACCCATATTGCAGGCCTGTGTACCGCTCCATAGCAGCTCAACCACAACACAACATACAGATAATAAAAGGGAATCAGGACACCCTAACAGCCTACTAAACCTGTTTCTGCATACATTCTGCACTCAGAAGCTGGCTCACTCATTCAGTGACAAAGGTTGTTTGCAAGCGACAATATCTGACCAATGCTCGATGCTTGCGTACATTGTTCAGCATTCAAGAGCTCAAGCCTCTTCTGCTGCTCCAACCGTTTTTCCATCACACGCAGGTGATTTGTGATACGAGTCCCGGTGGAACGGGTACGGGCAGGGATACCCCACCCGCTTTGCGCACTCTGCTGCTTGCAGCACACTTGCCACTTCGCACCCCCTGTGAGAGGTTGACGGCCGACTACGGCTCCAAGGTAGTTGGGGGATACTTCTGTCTTAATCTGCGCTGCGCCCTCACCACAGCACTAGATCAGTGAGGCTGCATCTGAGAGATGCCTGGAGCAGTTGTTATTCGGTTGTGCACTTCCGTACTGTACCAGTGATGGTGGTGCAGCCTGACACGCTAGGCTCACGTGTATGATGGTTGATAATAAGCTTCATAATCTTGAGGTTGTCAAGATTATCGGATTGCATGCGCCCATGTCACTCGGCGGCTTCCGGAATCTGTGCGAGTTGCGGGTCACTCAACCGCAGATCCGTCGGGCCTTGACATCCAAGCAGCTGCTTCAGCCGTCTAACAATAGCCGAGAAAGCTTCTCCTTATATTCAAGGCTGCTGATACGGTAGCATATCAGCACACGATCATACGGTGTCGAGCAGTCTGAAACCACAGGAGCGTATAAACAATCCGCGGCTTGCCACACAGGTGAATAATTGCAGCGATTTTTCACCTTAGCGGTGTCTGAAATATGCCACTGTTGGCAACGGGGGAAGCTGGTTGCCCAATACAAACCCGCAAGCGGAAGCCTCGGTCTGCCCCTCTATCGCAGGTCTGAGGTCCAGCATTCAACATGAAGACACACGTTACATTCTTATTTTTGATGGTAGCGCTACTGGTGCAGCGGTCCGCAGGTGTGGTGTTGTGACTCGCACGGTGCACTCTGTTGGGCGTTAGCCCGGCCATCGGCAATTGAATGGTGCAGATGCCATGACTGTGGCAGAGGAAATACTGGCATGCACTACTCCATGCTCCTGTCGTGCATATTGCCGAACGCTGTCACGGGCCAGTAAGGCTGCTGTCAGCGATTACCCCGCCCCCTGCCTCCCAATGCACGTGCAATATTTCTGAACCATGCCGCCCGCGGATTCTGGCCCCTCCCAGCCAACTGCCCCACAGTCACCGGTTCAAGCGGCCTGGTTGGGCCCTGGGTTGATCACCGAGGTGAGATCTGGGCTGGCTGGTGCGAATGCAATAGGGGCGGCTCTCATCAGTACTCTGTGCAGCAGAAAACAGCCATGAAACCGAGCAGAAGGGCAAGCTTGCTTCAACACTGTTCAACCCGACGCTGCATACAACTTGCCAGTTAACCGTCCCGGGTGGATCACAAAAATCAACGCGTATTACGACGGCAAGTGTGTCACTGGTGTCAAGGTGAGGGCCATGAATCTTCTGGGATGCCATTGAGCAGATAGGCTAGGTGCTGCAAGGGTGACAAGAGCCTGGTGATACCTTGCCCACTCGCCGAGTCGAATGGCCACAAACCTGAGCTTGGAAGTGATGTTCCCAGTACACATGCACGACACATGCACCGCTTCGCACCACACTGGGCCCAAAGTATGCATATCCTACACCTACATGCTTTCCCCTATATCTGCAGCCGACCTATGGCTACGAGTCCAGCGGCGCCCGCATCCTGGGCCGGGAGGCCGCCTTTGGCAAGGACATCGCCCTGTGGCCGGCCTCGGGCGAGTTTGTTGTCAAGGGGCAGGTCAAGGTCGGCAGGTGGGCGGCTTTGTCTTCGTCTCGCCTTGCTCTTGGGGATGTGTGGCCCCACATCACCCTCTGCCGCTGTCCACGTACTACGGGTAGTACCCGCCGCGGAGGGCAGCAAGTTGCATGCGTTCACAGGAGCGGGCCCAACCGTCCCGGACAAGCCGCTGTTTGTCAGGCGCCCATTGCTGACGTGCACACCGACGCTGGTGCCCTGCATGTCGCCAGCAGCCCGGTCGTGCGCAATTTGCATGCTTGATCTCATCACCCTGCGCGCCCTGCCTAGCCCCCACCCCCCCCCCTCTATCCCCACATTGGCGTGCAGCTGCATCGAGTACCTGAAGTTCACCACCAACTCGGGCCGCAGCCTCGAGGTTGGAAACGCCGCCTCGTCGGCCGCCTCTAGGACTGTGGAGGCCCCGGCTGGGTCCCACCTGTTCGCCCTGTCTGGGACCTTTGGCGAGGGTGAGGTTTCTTGCCGAGCCTCTTAGCCTGCTTGCGCGGGGCCTTGATGATGCATGAGTATCTACATACCCCCCGAATACCCCCACATGCGGCGAGCACGCCCCAGAGCCATTCGTGCAGCCTCACCCCAAAGCATGCACCTGCTTGAATTTACAGGATGTGTTGGTCCGACAATTGATCTGATCTGGGGCACCGAGCGCTGCGCTTCACCAAGTCCAGCACCGGTCGTTCCCAAGCCCCAGGTGAGCTGCGACCTGGACTCGCGCATCCATTGGTACCCAGAGGCAGGGCTAACCCTCTGGGTACCAAGTGTGAATATATTCACATCACCCCCCCCCTTTCCTTCCCCTACATGGCGTGTTGGGCCCCCGCTGAGCAGCATTCGATAGACTTCTGGGGGTATCCCTGCATAAGCTCGGCCGAAAGCATACACACAACTGGTTGCTGACGTCTGCAAGCAAGCAATCACAAGAAATCTTTTGCTGCCTGGCTCTACTCTCTTCCATAGCCGTCACCCACGCCCGCCCCGGTGCCAAGCCCTGTGCCAGCGTCACCCAAGGCGTCGCCCAAGCCCCAGGTGGGACAGGCTACTGCTGGTTGGGAACTGTGCTAGCTGGCTTGCTCGATTGATCCAGCACCACCCCCTGCACACGCAGGCATACTAAGCGTAGTACGTGATTTACCACATTCAGTTCATCTGCACAGTGAAGTACAACCTCCACAAACCATTCACCGCGCTTGTCCTCCCATTGCTGTGGCCTTGCCTCTCTTTGCAGCCCGCATCTCCTTCTACCGCGCCGGTTGTGGTGAGGGACTGCAGACACGCACGCAAGCGCTTTCCTGGCGCGACTGCGCTGCAGCGGCAGCCCTGCTCGCTTAGAGCTGCAGGCCCCTTTTTGAGCTTCCTGCGGGCCTTGAGGGTTTCGGCCAGCATGCAACACTACCCTGCATCAACAGGCTCGATGTATCCTCTGCCTCACCCCCGCTCCCCTGCCGCGCTGCCCGCTTTCAACCATCTTTTACACCACAGGAGTCCCCGATCGAGGGCCCCGCTGCGCCCTCCCCCTCCCCCTCCCCGTCCCCTTCTCCGTCCC